ATGTTTGACCATTATTTCTTTAGTTTTCAATATGAATTCTCAAATCTATATCATTTTTCTCTTGTAGCAATTAAAATATATACTCCCTTATCTCATTTTATATGAGTTACTTTGATTTGACTCGGAGTTGAAGAAAAAAGGAAGGCTTTTTAAAATTTGTGGTCTAAAATGAGTAATAGATATTTGTGTGACCGTGAATCATTTCATTACGGGTAAAATGTGTATTTTAAAGTTCAATTGTTATACTTGATAATGAATATTTATTGTCTCAATCAAATATATACCACTTTGTTACTGAATACGAACCGATAGATAACAATGTGAAATTATAAAATTGGTTATCCAAGCAAATGTATATCTATTAGATGAATATGGACCAGCGAATATGAACCTCGATTTAAACAAATGTATACATATTGTTAGGTGAATACGAACTAATGGATATCAATTTTGACTTAAAGAAAGACATACAAATTTATTAGATGAATATTTGCCAATGTATACCAATGTAGTATTAGAAAGATTCTAATACAAATAAATGTATACCAATGTATTAATGAATACATATGCATGACTCCAATACAAATCTATTTGATAAATATTGATTAGTGAATACTAATGCAAATAAATGTATACAAATTTGTAAAGTGAATATGTATTGAGTTTTTCATCATAGATTCTAGCAAATGCCAAATCTATGTTAAGTCAAAATAGTCATAATTCTTTTGCTACTTTTAAGAGAGATATAATTCTTTATTAAATATCTTTTACTATTTTATAATAAGAATTTCCTCACTTTGACTCTTAAATGTCAATTCTTTTGACTTTCATTTGCCAAATAATTATTTGGCAAAAACATATCAATTTTAAATCTAATTATCTCAGTTCTATCTCTTATAAATAAGGCATCCAATTCCACCAAAGAGCCCATCTCTCATTTAGAATCACAAATTTAGTGTCTTTCAATACTTTGATCATGGCTACTTTGAGGGTACTCATGTTTCCATGGTTGGCTTATGGACACATTTCTCCATTTCTAAACATAGCCAAGAAACTCGCGGACAGGGGATTCTTGATTTACCTCTGTTCTACGCCAATAAATCTCAAATCCACCATCAAAAAAATCCCTGAAAAGTATGCTGATTCGATTCAGCTTATCGAACTTCACTTACCAGAATTACCCGAACTTCCTCCTCATTACCATACGACCAATGGTTTCCCGCCCCATCTCAATAACACCCTTCATAAGGCCCTGGAAATGTCCAAACCAAACTTCTCGAAAATCTTGCAAAATCTGAAACCTGATTTGGTGATTTATGACATGTTGCAGCAATGGGCTGAACACGTCGCGAATGAACAGAACATTCCAGCTGTCAAGCTCATAACTTTTGGTGCAGCCGTGTTTTCATATCTTTTTTACTTAGTGAAGAAACCAGAGGCTGTATTCCCATTCCCCGCGATTAATCTCAGCAAAATTGAACAAGAAAAAATGTTTGCTAAAGATTTCGAGGATCGTTTAGTGGATGGAAATATTCAAATCATGCTGATAAGTACCTCTAGAACTATAGAGGCAAAATACATTGATCATTGCACTGAATTGATCAATTGGAAGGTTGTTCCTGTTGGTCCACCAGTCCAAGATCCAATCATTAACAACGCGGACGACAAGGAGCTCATGAATTGGCTAGGAACAAAAGATGAGAATTCAACTGTTTTTGTCTCCTTTGGGAGTGAGTATTTCTTGTCAAAAGAAGATATGGAAGAAGTAGCTTTCGGGTTGGAGTTAAGTAATGTTAATTTCATATGGGTTGCAAGATTTCCAAAAGGGGAAGACCAAAATCTTGAAGATGCATTGCCAAAGGGTTTTCTTGAAAGAATTGGAGAAAGGGGAAGAGTTTTGGACAAATTTGCACCACAACCAAGAATTCTAAATCATCCGAGTACGGGAGGATTTATAAGTCATTGTGGTTGGAATTCAGTAATGGAAAGTGTAGATTTTGGGGTTCCTATAATAGCTATGCCTATACAGTATGATCAACCATCAAATGCTAGGTTGATAGTAGAATTGGGAGTCGCCGTAGAGATTGTTAGAGATGATGATGGGAAAATTCACAGAGGAGAAATCGCGGAAAAATTCACAGAGGAGAAATCGCGAAAACTCTTTAAAATGTCATAACAGGGAAAACAGGGGAAAATTTGAGGGGCAAAGTTAGAGATATCAGCAAGAATTTGAAATCTATAAGAGGTGAAGAGATGGATACTGCTGCTGAAGTGCTGATTCAACTTTGTAAGAATAGTAATGAGTGCAAATAGTGTGCTCATTTGGGGACTTCATGGATTAGTTGTTTGTCAGACTTTAGTTAGTTTCTTTGTGTATTTGGTTTGAGGTGGAGGGGGGTCATGTCCCGGTAAACTTATTTCCTTAAGTTTAGACACTAAAGGCTTGCTCAAATATTAGTTGTTCGGTCATCATGAATTTATTGATTTCCTTATTAAGACTTAATAAGCATATATTTCAGTTTCCGCTTTAGTTTTATATGATATTTTTGATATGTTAAGCCAAGGGTTTGCCTTGAATCACTTGTGGTTCCAAGTATCGTGTCTCGACTGGGTTGTAGACTCGGTCGTGACAATTACCAAAGTTATTGAATACACTAACTTGCTTTTAGAGTATTCATTTTGGTACTTATATGATATATTTATTTATTTATGACAATTTTGTAAATATTTAAATTTCGTTGATTGATTTGATAAGAGGAATTTTCGCATATACCCACTAAAAAATAACTTAAATTATGCTCCCTAGTTGTAGTTTTCTAACTATGATTCGTAGCTACATGTTAGAGGGAGGAGAGAGGTGAGCGAGATTGGGAGAGAGGCAAGCGAGAGAGGGCATGAAGTGGAGAGAGGCAAATTGTATATGTATATCTATCAAATAATTGTATATATGTAACTAGTATACATATGTATTTGTATATCTAGCCCGCGAGATTGGGAGAGGGAGGAGAGAGGCAAATTGTATATGTATATATGTTAGATAATTGTATATATGTAACTGGTATACATATGTATTTGTATATTTGGCGAGCGGGATTGGGAGAGGGTGAGCGAGAATGGGATAGGGAGGAGAGAGGCGAGTGAGAGAAGACAAAGAGTGGAGAGAGACTAATTGTTTTTGTATATTTGTCATATAATTATATATGTATATGTATAATTTGCATTTGATAATTTGTATTTGTATATGTATAAAAGAGGAGAGAGGCGACGTAATTACAGCTAAAATTAAGTTGCGAGCCTTAATTAATCCAAACTATAACTATGTTAGCTAATTAACTAGTATATATTTGTTTATCCACGTATTTTTTCCCATTTGATAATGAATATTAATTTTGTCTCAATCAAATATATACAAATTTGTTAATGAATACAAACTGATATATAACAATGTAAAATTATAAAAATAGTAATGCAAGCAAATGTATATCTATTTATTAGATGAATACGGAAATGAATATCAATCTCGATGTAAATAAATGTATACACATTTCTTAGGTGAATACAGACTAATGTATACCAATTTTGGTTTAAACATATGCATACAAATTTGTTAGATAAATATGGGCCAATGTATAGCTATGTAAAATTAGAAAGATACTAATACAAATAAATTATACCAAATTTATTAAGGAATACAGATGAATGTATACCAATTTATATACAAATGTATACCAATCTATTTGATGCATACATATCAATGAATACCAATGCGTATACAAATTTGTTAAGTGAATATGGATTGAGTTTTTCATCATAACTTCTAGCAAATAGTTGGGGAAAATAATTTTCATATGGTGGACTTTAGGAATATCCATAGTCTTAATTAAATATTTTTTGCTAATTTTAAGGAGAGAGATAACTCTAAATAATTTTTTTGCTAATTTTAAGGGGAAATAATTGGAGGTTAGAAGAGCTAGATATCATACTCCCCCTCTGTCAACTTTTAATTGTCATGTTGTCCTTTTCTAAAGTCAATTTGACTAATTTTCAAAGTTAAATTAGATTACATTAATTTGATATTTTAAACAAAAAAAATTGAATATTCAAAAACTATATGAAAAGTACTATAAATTGCAATTTTTTGCATATCAATATGATAAAAAAAATACATTCTAAAATGTTAGTCAAAGTTTTTTATAGTTTGACTCTAAAAAAACGAAATCATGACAACTAAAAGTGGACCAAGACTGTATTAAATATCTTTTACTCAAAATTAATTTGAAGAGAAATGTGAGTTAATAAGAATTTCCTCTCCTATTTTTGTGCAAAATATACTTTGGCTAGTAACTATAAAATAAAATAAAAACACACCATAAAATGATAGTCAAAGTTTTTATAGTTTGACTTTAAAAGAAGGAAACCATGACAACTAAAAGTGGACCAAGACAATATTAAATATCTTTTACTCAAAAATAATTTGAAGAGATATGTGAGTTAATAAGAATTTCCTCCCAAAATATACTTTGACTAATAGCTATAAATTACTTTTGAATTCTATTTGCTAAATAATTATTTGGCAAATATATATCAATTCAATCTATGGATTGCATATACAAGTCAAATCCTTGTTAAATACTTTTAGACTTGTGTTTTGTCCTCTAACTCTCATTTCACTCTATATATAGTAGAATTCACAAATCAACTTCTTTCAAGATTTTGATCATGGCTACTTTGAGGGTACTCATGTTTCCATGGTTGGCTTATGGACACATTTCTCCATTTCTAAACATAGCCAAGCAACTCGCAGACAGAGGATTCTTGATTTACCTCTGTTCTACGCTAATCAATCTCGAATCCATCATCAAGAAAATCCCTGAAAAATACTCTGAATCAATTCATTTTGTCGAACTTCACTTACCTGAATTGCCTGAACTTCCTCCTCATTACCATACTACCAATGGTCTCCCACCCATCTCAATCACACCCTTCATAAGGCCCTGAAAATGTCCAAACCAAACTTCTCCAAAATCTTGCAAAATCTGAAACCTGATTTGGTGATTTACGACATATTGCAGTCGTGGGCTGAACATGTTGTAAATGAACACAACATTCCAGCAGTCAAGATCCTAACTTCGGGTGCAGCTCTGTTTTCGTATTTTTTCAACTTTCTAAAGAATCCAGGGGTTGAATTCTATTTCCCTGCTATTTATCTCCCGAAAGTTGAGCAAGTAAAGATGAGAGAAATGTTCGAGAAAGAACCTAATGAAGAGGATCGTCTAGCTGAGGGAAATATGCAAATCATGTTGATGTGTACGTCTAGAACTATCGAGGCCAAATACTTAGATTATTGCACTGAATTGAGCAATTGGAAAGTTATTCCAGTTGGTCCACCATTCCAAGATTCGATCACTAATGATGCTGACGACATGGAGCTCATGGATTGGTTAGGAACAAAAGATGAGAATTCAACTGTTTTTGTCTGCTTTGGAAGTGAGTATTTCTTGTCAAGAGAAGATATGGAAGAAGTAGATTTCGGGCTGGAGTTAAGCAATGTTAATTTCATATGGGTTGCAAG